GCTTTTTAATGTTATCAGTCAATGTTCTAACAGGGCGACCTCTTGTTTCATTTCAGATTTGTTCACGTGTAGCGCCTGCTTTGGTAGTTGTTCTGGCGGCATTCTGACTAAATGACCAAACAATTTGATTTTCTCTTTCTCAATGAATATGCAGCCTGGTGTTGTCCCTACGGTCTATCTGATAATATCATTTCTAATTTTGTCTCTGATGGTTAAGTTGGCGCCTTTTCTCGGGCATCCTATTTAACAGGTGTTAAATTTTGTAGTTTATACTTTGATAATGTCTGAGTCTAACACAAGGATGAATATGCTGTTTACAATCATACATATCAATGTCCCAACAACGGTGCCATTTGAAGGTTTATAGTACCAGCATGAACCAAACTTATCTATTCACAGAATGAGTTAACTAAAGCAGAACTACTGAAAAGTTATCGTCTCCACATCTTCGTCAGCATCATCTTCATCATCATCGTTCTGTCAGTGAGCCTGTCGTGGTACTTCAAAAAGGAAGCCCAAGAAAAGCTGTACTCCAGCCAGGCTATCTTCTACAACCCACGCTCAAGGGAACTTACTCTCTCAGGTAAGTTCACAACACGTCCGGCTGCATATATAAAAATCTGCAGCTGGCCGTGGTTCAGAACTAAATGTTGCTGGAATATTTTAGAACACTGTTCTTAGGCCTTTTTTTTTTTAACGTGTCGGCAAACCCGCTAAAAAGGAGAAATATTTCGAGAACCTGTTGACTGGTAAAATAAAAACAAATGCAAACGTAGTTATCTTTTAATTTATCCAATAGTTTTTTTTTTTTTAAAGTAAAGGATCTATTACAACACGCTGGACGAGTTTACTTTCCAGGATTTTACCTTGTACCTATATTAGGCTGAGGCAATAGTTCCACAGCGCCTATAAAACACGTGTCGTAAAGGACGACTAATTATGTTTCTTTAGAAGTAAGTGTCTATCTGCCTGAAAGGCAGGGACCCATCAGTTTGCATACAAATGCACCAGATATGTAAAACGGATATGCACGCAAAACTCACATTTTTGAACAAAACCTAGCGAGATCAAAGTCCAGAAGTGGACGAACAACGTAAACTTCCTGTCAGAGTGTACAGTAGGTGAACGCGAAGAAGAAGAAGAAGAAGAAGAAGAAGAAGAAGAAGAAGAAGAAGAAGAAGAAGAAGAAGAAGAAGAAGAAGAAGAAGAAGAAGAAGAAGAAGAAGAAGAAGAAGAAGAAGAAGAAGCATATTACGTCTTATACTGAAACGGAGGATAACAGACAACCTCCTGGTGGTTTCTGAACAGTGGTACGAGAGTTGCACATTGGAAGAGATCCGAGCGTCAACACGTAACTTTCCCAAAGAAGCAGTGTTTACATATATAGTGTCGTGGAACAGGTTCCTTTTACACTCACTAAAGTGGTGTTATCTTGTTAGAAACCGAGACAACTGTCATTTGGCGCAAAGAGCAGACAGTGTCCCTGGATACTCAGATACAAACTCGAATTGGCTCGCTAAAGAAGGTGAGCTGCCTGAATATCATCAGAAAAGGGATAAGGGAATTTAGATGCCTAACCACTTAGACAGAGCAGATTACCCCTCCCGACAATTTCCTTTTCTGGTCATTAAATTAAGCCCCCATCTAGAATATGTATATTGGTAGACAGCACTGACACCATACATACATCTAGAAATAAAATTAAACTTTAACTATGAATTTAAATCAATCATAGGAATGTTTATTAAAATTAAAGTAAAAGTCAATCATCTATTTACTTTTGAAAATACAATATTCAAACTAAGTAGGATGAAAGATAAAAATGATAGTAACATGAAACTGTCGTCGTGAGAGGATCAGTGGGAAATAACATACAACAATTACCACCTGGAGTTTCCCAGAGGATCATCCATTTCAAAGACTGAGGTGGAATGTAGAATCTGTCTCAAGCACCAAGATCTTCCTTAGGGCACTTTAATCATCAGCTACAACCAGCCTGGCAGTGGTTTGGAAGCTCGTCCTGCCACAAGGAACAAGGGATCTGTCCTCGGCTTTTCAGCAGCTAGGGATGGAAACAATCAAAAAATATATAGTCCCTGCTGTTTTGCAAAATAAAATATATTCCCAACTCTCCCCTCTCTCTTCATATTGTCAGAAGTGGGATAATGGTCTAGTAGCATTGTCATTTACATAGCTTCCACTTCTGACTACTGTCCAGTCCAGATGGATGTCTTCCATCTTCTGTCCTTCAGGATGATAGTGTAATACCACTCATTTACACAGACTCAGACAGCAATATGCAGTTAAAAATGCAACACAAAATCAGACAGAATGCTATAGAATTCTCTCTATAAATATTGAGAATTCTAGATAAAAGGGCTTGCCTTTCCTGTCTTCCAGATATTCCACTGGGTGTTTTCTTGGACAGCATGTCCTCAAAATCACAGCATTTAATACTGCTGTGTATAAGTAAAATGATACATTAATAACATCATGAATAATACATCAATAACCTGAAAACAAAATTCAGCACTTCTACAACAAGCAAACATTATGAATTATAGAAGTATGAGCATGAGAAGAACAATGTCTCCTATGAAATGTTACCATTGAAATGTTACCATTATCTATACAAACTCTAATAACCAGCCATAGATCATTCATCTACCAGCAATAGAAGATAGATAATTTCCTAAGAGTCTTAGATACAGCAAACAGAAGTAACCTCCTAGATACTGAACAATAGGAATCAGGAATAGATCATAAAGAAATGGTTTCCTGCCATGTGCAGAAATGGGTCAGCGTGGTTTTTCCTCTGTCTGGTACAATTCTAATATTGTACACGAAATGCGGCCCGAAAACTGAAATCACGATTTAATTAACAGTTACTGTGCTCACCTGGATTTAGATGTAAACTATATGGTCATGCTGCTAGGTTTTTAGGCGGCGGGAAAGACAAAGTTCTGCCAAAACGGCCCGCTCTAACTCCTGCTAGCTGCCCTGAAGTAAAAAATGGCTGGCCGTCTGCTCTCACAGCGGGATCCGGTGTTTGGCCAGGATTTTCCCGCTACGTTGCCGAGTTTGCTAGCCGTAGATTTTTATACGTGAAAGCTCAGGGGAATTAAAAATAGGACAATGGAAAATCCCCAAACAGCAACCGTAGGCTATAACCGGGATATCTCTCAATGCGTCTTATGACGAAAATGAAGTCACTGGGCGCATGTAAGAGAGAAAAATAGAAGGGTCACAAAGGGGTGGTACGTCAGCCAAAAGTATCTTGTCTACTTGAAGCGGCGTCTCGCGACATATAGCCAACCTTCATTCTGGAGATGACACATACTTTTTTTCTCAAACTACTATGATGCATGTCCGGGAGAACTAACATCTGAAACTTGGAATCTGTTTCAGACACAAGCAAGACTGAAATGATCACAGGCCATCTGGGACTCGACATACCAATGTGGATGCTTCCTTTGCACTGCCCAATCGTCATGGGAGACAATCCACATTACAAGGAATGCCTCTGGAAAAGAATCGCTATTTTGAGAATCACTCATTTTCAGGATTCCGAAATTCAGTGTTACAATATTTCCTGGCAGTCACTCGGTTCGACGGTATGTGAGTGTGTGTGTGCCATTACTGTATAGCTTTCACTATATGGCTTTGGTCGCTTAGGTGTTCATATCTCTTCACAGATCTTGACCCTTGGTGATGAAAATGTTCATCCATACCACCTAATGGACCTCGCCCCAATGTGGGTCGTAATTTTTAGTTATTTTAAAACCTCACCCCGGCTGTAGTCTGGGGCCCCAATATAACCTAACAGTTGAACGGGACTAGCACCCGGTGCTCCTCTTCCGAATGGTGTCACTTTGTGTCACTTGGTGTTTATGGCTCGTTGTGTTGTCCATGGTGTAGGTGAAACTCTCCGGTTAGAGCGTTCTTGCAGTTAGAGTCGTCGGGCAGCTATTTGAGCCAGTTTCCTACAGCTACACTGGTCCTACTCCCAGCAGCAGGAAAAAATAACTTCAACCAAGGTAATTAGGGTATTTTAAAGTACGACTTACCCATATTCTTCTGAAGTTCCTGGGTGAAACGGAGACTTTCAAAATAGATACTGATAGAGTTGACAGAAATAGCGTTTGGCCGTCTGATAGCTCTAAAAGCTGTGTCTAGAATAACGCTACAAATTCAAACGTGTCCCAAGTCAGAAGCGCGATGGATCCCTTCCATGCAACAAAGCGGCAGTTCGGCCCTGGAAAAAAGCTTCCTTACTCGTAAAAAGCAATTACCTGTGAGTGAATTCACAATATAATTCACTCCTAATAGAATTAGGAACGAACAGAGTACTTTTCCCTACACTTTGACTCCTACTTATCAAAGAAGGACTATTTACTTATGGAAGAAGAGTCCATATGTGAAACTAATTAATTTACATAGGGGGATACAAGAGTTGGCTAAGTCAGTCAGCATAGGGGTGTTCCACTGGGATGTGACAATGCCTTTCGGCCCTTTTTCTACTCTTGGACTGACTGATTTTGTCCAAAAGAAAGGTAGCTCTGCTATGTAAGGGAATCAAGGTTGCTGAAGATGTGGGATCAGACATCTCCGAAACTACAACAATTATTAATGATGTGTAGGTATTGTATAAATGTGACAAATGTGCAAATAAAAAAATATTAAATTTAATAATGAAATTGCTGCATGTATCATTGCAGCAAAGTGACTGGAGGTTTTGGAATACATAAATGTATTTCCTCTTATTACTCTCTTTATTGTCCTGCTATCTTTTATCTTTTTCCTCCTTTTTTTTTTCTTGTTCTGTACTACAGCTACTTCTCCTTTTTTTTTTTTTTTTTTCTCTTTTTATGTGTTTTTCAGCTTCACTTTAGAAAATAAAGAGAAAAAAAAACAGTATTTTCAAGAGAATGTTGATTATTAATTCCTTGTCACTGGGTATCCAGGAAAAACAGTAACACACATTCGTATTGTCCTTTCAGCATGTACCACACGACTGCTTCTTCATCAACAAAGCCAAATGGTATGGTCCCTCGAACCAAAGCATAATCAGCTTCCCTATCCAAGGCCACTTTGAGTACAATCCCGGTAATGTGGCACTCACAAGCAATGGGCTCTTTGACACTGTCGTCGACTACTACTGGTTATCTTCCCATGGCACAGCTGTGTACGTAAACGCTGACAACCCCATTCAGATGTCGTGGAACACTTCAGGAAGTAACCAGCTTTGTCTACGAAGCAACTTCTCCGGGTCCTTGTACCATACAACCAACAAAGTTCAACATCCTACGATGAACTATACAATCTGCCAGGGAACCGATCCCTTGAAAACCCACATCCTTATGCAGAAACTGTTCTCTCCCAGCAGCGTACAACAACCGTCTGATTCAGTTCTCCAGAGGGCCCACTGGTCTGTAAAGAGTATAGCCAAGACTGAAAACGTCAATGAAAGTCATGTGAAGAATCTTCTGGATAATATTTCACGGTATGGATTTGGAAGTAGTGCTGTAACACTTGATGGCAACTGGCAGAAGTATCATGGTGACCTGACTTTTGACGAACAACGTTTCTCAAACGTCACAGAAATGATGAACACTGTGAATACATCGGGAAGTATATTGACTCTTGGAGTCAGTCCGTATTTTCAATACAGAAGTCAGAATTTTCACAAGGTAAGATGACTTTTTTCAGCTTCTTAGTGATGTTAATGTGTGTTTTATGTTTGCCTTTTTCTCCTTCAACAACATACGTTTGATGTGCATCTGAAATCAGAAACAGATTGGAAAACCAACACTGGTTATAATTACGAAAAAGATTTTCTGAAACACTTGAACAGAACAGACCAAGTCACAGTTTTTCGCTTACGCACTGGACACTGCAGACTCAATAAACACAAAAATTAGGTATGAGCCAAACAGCTCTCTGCCGGTGCCTTCGAGCTGAACAGACTCCAAAACATGTCCTGCAAGACTGTCCTCTCCTGGCGGAGCTGCGGAGCGACATATGGCAACACCCAGTAGAACTGACAACTAAGCTTTGGGGAAACCTAAGAGACCTTGAAAAGACATCCCAGTTTATAACCCACAGTGGATTATGCGCATGACCAGAGATCGCTGAAGAAGAAGAAGAAGAAGATATGCATCTGTTCCATCGCGGATCACAAACAGGACTGTGATTATAATAATAATAATAATAATAATAATAATAATAATTATTATTATTATTATTATTATTATTATTATTATTATTATTATTATTATTATTATTACTATTAGTGACAATGCTCGTGCAACTAAAGTCTTACCTTGTTTGCTTCGACGTAAACACTTTAGACGATATATGACCTTATGTTTTGTGACTTCTGTAGAATTCAACTAAGAAACGTTTTTGTTCTAAACACACCCTATTCTGTATAGTAAAATAAAGTAAAGGATTCTTTTCATGACCGCGATTACTTCCCAGGACATTATCTGGTACCCGTTTTAGGCTGGGTCGACCTGCGAGAAAATGTCATTCTTATTTTAAATTTGACTGTATGCGGATTTGATCCCAAGACCTTCTGGTCAGTATGTCGGTAAGCAGAGCACATTTTGGTGTCCTCCATTTACCCACCAGGGTGGGGAAAGGCAAGTTCGTAGTAACATCTTTGATGAGTGTCTGGGTATCTTTTGGCAGATGTTAGTGATCTCTCCTATTTTATTTATATTGTTAGCCTCTAAGTACAGTGCCTTTTATTTCATTTGATTCTGTATACTTATTGTAATTCCGTATTGTTGTATAATATAATGCCCCGTTCTGTTGGCTCCCAAAGAAAGGTAAGAGTCACACAGTGGAAGAGACAGGTTCGCCATCACGAGATAGTGGTTGTGCTTTTTCAGTGCAGCACGCTTCTATTGTTGTTAGCATCGTAGCACTAGTAACTGGTAGCTTTCAGGTTCTGCATGAAGTGCTTAAGCAGGCGGCCATAGTTCTTTTCGCTGCGTTCGAGATGTAAAGCGAGTGGCGTGTTTGTAATGAGTAGTAGACAATAATAATATTAAACAGTAAAATAATGAATTTTTCTTTGGCAGTGGGAAGTGTAAGTGCCGATTACAGCGGCATACTGCACGGCTCGCCACTGTGGTGATGATGATCATGGTTGTGTTTGTGGTGCTGCTGGTGGTGGTGACGATGACGAAGTTGATGATGATGATGATCATATAAATATATTACTACTCTGATCCTACAGGGAGTTGAATCCAACATGTTTGTGAAAGATGCAGGAGGTGAAGTCCCTGGTCTCACCAACTTCCAAGGTCTGTTAGCGGCTGTTCTGGACGTCTTTTCGGCCACTGGCAGAGACTGGTACAGGGACAAGCTGCAGGTTGATCATTCATTACATAATAATTGTCCATTCACTGTTGATTTTTTAAACACCATTGGTTTCTTCTTCTTCTTCTTCTTCTTCTTCTTCTTCTTCTTCTTCTTCTTCTCTTCATCTTCTTCTTCTTCTTCTCCTTCTCCTTCTCCTTCTTCTTCTTCTTCTTCTTCTTCTTCTTCTTCTTCTTCTTCTTCTTCTTCTTCTTCTTCCTTCTTCTTCTTCTTCTTCTTCTTCTTCTTCTTCTTCTTCTTCTTCTCTTCTTCTTCTTCTTCTTCTTTTTCTTCTTCTTCTTCTTCTTCTTCCTCCTTCTTCTCTCTCCTTCTTCTCTCTTCTTCTTCTTCTTCTTCTTCTTCTTCTTCTTCTCTCTTCTTCTTCTTCTTCTTCTTCTTCTTCTTCTTCTTCTTCTTCTCTTTCTTCTTCTTCTTTCTTTTTCTTCTTCTTCTTCTTCTTCTTCTTCTTCTTTTCTTTCTTCTTCTTCTTCTTCTTTCTTCTTCTTCTTCTTCTTCTTCTTCTTCTTCTTCTTCTTCTTCTTCTTCTTCTTCTTCTTCTTCTTCTTCTTCTTCTTCTTCTCTTCTCCTCTTCTCCTCCTTCTTCTCCTCCTTCTTCTTCTTCTTCTTCTTTTCTTTTTCTTCTTCTTCTTCTTCTTCTTCTTCTTCTTCTTCTTCTTCTTCTTCTTCTTCTTCTTCTTCTTCTTCTTCTTCTTCTTCTTCTTCTTCTTCTTCTTCTTCTTCTTCTTCTTCTTCTTCTTCTTCTGCTGCTGCCGCTTCTCCTCCTCCTCTTAGCGTTCTTTGGCGGTAAACTCCAAAGGTAAGTTTTGATTATTCGTCGTTTTCTGGACTTTGGTCTTGTTCTAGAACTTCAGATTTGCGTGCACAGCCGTTACAGATCTGGCCTTTTTGTATGCAGACTGTTGGTTCCTCATCTGTCAAACAAAAATACTCCGACTTCAAAGGATATTCTCCTTCTTAGTCTCCTCCTACGACTTGCTCGTTATTGCGCAGTGGCACTGGCGCATCGTTTACATGAAGCTAGAACCATTTACTTATAGACAAGCGGCACTCAGTAGGGGATGTGGTCAAGCCCTTTTACTTTTCCAGAAAATTTCGGATACGCATTTTTAGGATTGGTCGACCGGGGGGGGGGCTAAGATCAATTATAAAAATCCACCTGGATGAATATGTGAATCCAAGCCTCTGGGGCTGGAAAGTAAGCGTTTAGCCAATGCAATACCGTGGTTTCTTGATGTGAAGTACCCAGAAACAACAGTCTCTTGTCTCCCACATTATTAAACTGAGACAATTAGGGGAATAAGAAAAAGATAGGACGATCGTGAATTGTCTACAGCTGACGACCATTCTTCTGAAACTGTTGTGTGCCTGTGCGGAATCTATATTGCTCTTGTTTTTGTTGATTTTCTTTATGAAACTTCTTCGATACACTTGACTGACACTTGTATCTATGGTGTTCCCATATATTGATGACTGTTTTCAAGTTAATTACAATTAAAAGTCAGTCAAGGATCCCTTTACACGCCAGTAGCGTGCTGGACTTATGCGGCTACGCTCAAAAAAATAGACCGATAGGCCCTCAATAAATTATTCAGTCCCCTTTAATTTCCAGGACTTTACCCCGTATCAATGTTTAAGCTAGGTCGACTTGAAAGCCAATGTCTTTTTTTTTTTTTTTAATCCGAATCCATGCAGATTTGAACCTACGCCTTCAGATCCGCAGGTGAGCGTCTAGCGGCTACAGCCCGGCTGCTGCCTGCTTACAATTATCATATGGCTAAATTTTGATATTCTTGATCTTCTTCAACTTGTGTCATCAAGTGTTGTTGGAAGTAACAGTTGGTGCTACAGCACTAAATGGACAGTATTGCCTATTGGATATTAGATACACAACGTAAAATAAAAACAGCAACCCAACTTCTTTAGTTCTTGGGTAATTTATGTGCTGGAAGTTGGTTTTGCTTTGGGCTCATTATATTTCTTCAGAGTGGCTTTGTCTGGCAATTAGTACCTAGGCATTCTCAATAGATCTTCAAACTATCTCATCTGTTGTCTTTAGACAGTAAGTTACTTAGTCAGTCGACAGTTTATCCACATTGCGCATCGAATCATTCACTTCATAAGTGCTCGGATTATCTGCACGGTAAATCCCGTAATGTGTTGCGACAGACGACACCAGTTCTATGTTGGTTTCTATAACTTCTTTGGCTTTCTTCATAGTGCTCTTGTGTGTTCACACACATTTTAATTTGTTCTCCTTGCAGTCTGGTTGCGGATTCAGTCACTTTGTTTTCGCTGACGTCTTTTCTCATAGAGCATTCAGTATATCAGTCGCTTGCATCAGTATTACCTGCAATCCTATCAGCTTGCTCGTTTCCTTGCACGTCTGGTGTCTTTAATGAATAGTATGACTACTTTCAGTAATATTCTTCTCATTTCTTTATACTTTTTTTCTGTGCTGGTTATTGCGACACTGTATATAATAATGGTTCTATTTGAGAATTGTATAATCATTTCAATCAAAGATAGTTCTTATAAGATTTGCCTTGATAAACACGAATGTATGTCAGAAGCTGTGTTAGTTGTCTCAGTAACGTTAACGTTAAAAATCGAGCGCGGCAACCCTTTTCCAGACAGTGAATGTGGATTTGAAATATAACAAACAAAGCTACGTTATGGGACACAATAAAACGTATAAGATTTTAATAAACTAAATATAAACTAACACCGAATATCTAGGACTACTGACTGAACCATGTGAGAATCGGCAAAGTTCTAAATCACGTTCAGTAATTAACATAGAGGCCTTTCTTTGCCTAATTTCTGGAAGGTGTTAGGCTGTTAATCTCAGCATAGTAGGTAATGCTGACAATGTCTTGCCAAATGAAATGCTACTTTGGGCGCCATTAGTGTTTAGTTACCGACTGCATAATTATATGTCGGAAAAAAAAAAAGGTTTTTGTTTTTTCTCAAAGGCTAACCACAATAAATTTTAAATAAATGTCAGTCAGTACGACGCCATCTCCACAGTGAAAGTTGATACCAGGCTGCGGTGGATCTGTCTTGTCTTTTAACATTACTGTGGGTCCATCTCTTCTGTTTTCCTCTCACTTGTATCGCTGTCCACACCTTGTCTTCATTTTTTTCCTTAAATATTCTTTTTTTAAGAGTGTGTTATGTTTTACTGTTCAGAGATATTTCAATTGTTTTTTTTTTTTTTTTACAACACTCGTCTATTCCTACAAGATCTGCGTATTTGAGTGTTTTTATTTCTTCCTTCTTCCAGTATACCCGATTTTAACATTCGACAGACAGTTCTTTTGACTCTTTTTAAAGTTCCGCTTGAAATCCTCACAGCTTTAAGTATGTTGCTGTTTTACTAAATCAGTATTTCCTTCCTAATGGATTGTACAAGGAACAGTCCCGCAGGATATATTCTGTAGTGTGTACGTACAACAAGCATAGACACAGCGATAAACTACCCAGACACATGCTTGTTATGCATGTTATGCCCTGTTTTAAGGCGTAGAGTGCTGGCCTGTAAATACAGTTCAGGTGAGCGGTACATCACTGTCTTGACTCTGTTCACTTCTGACAGTGGGATATTGTCTCTTCGATGTGTTGACTGGTTGCTAGGGGTTTTTCATATATAAGACATAGATGAAGTCTGAATGCACACAGTTGGTAACGAGTAGACCATATCCGGTTATATTCTTTTTTGAACTTTCACAGGTAGTCCGGTCCAGTCAATGTCTACTATTGGCTAGCAGGTCCAACAAGAGATGATGACATTTATCAAGTACAGATTCGACGTCTACTACCATTCACACTCGCTACCTTTCATTCCTGTCCTGTTTCATTTCACACGCAATACACACAATGGTTGATCCAGCATTTCTGATCATGACTGTTCGATTCTTTGGTCGGTTTGAACTCGTCGGCTACCACCTCTGGTCAGGCTGTCAACAGGTTGTCGTCTGGCTATCCTCTAATGAAATAGAATCTCCTTCACGTCTTCAATTATACAATGTCACATTCACTCGTCGGGAGTCCCCGTGGTGGAGCGGCTAGACGCTCGCCGCGGATCAAAAATGACCTTGGCTCTCAGGTTGATCCAGCCTTGAGTGGGTACCGGGTGCAGTCCAGGGAAAGTAAAGGCGGCCGGCGTGATGTTGACCACATCACCCATTTTGTGCCGATTGGTCTATAAAAATATTCTAGCCCGATATGTCCTTTACGCGTAAAAAGAGCGTGGAAAAGGGTCCTTTACTTTTTTTTCTTTTACTTACAATCACTTGTCTATCAAATATGACCTTTCGCGCCAGCTGCCAAACACATACTAACTGATCAGACCTTGGTCTTAACTTATAACCCTCGTTCTGGGTTTCACGTGCTGGTCTGAGCCCTGTTGGTATATCTCGTGTTTCTACAAGTATTCAAATTCTCATTTATTTCTCTCTTATCTAATGTTTACTCCTGTTTATTGTTTAGAGAATCCCTGCGGGAAAATGCCAACATTACAGACAGACTTTGTGGCCCTTCTGGGGTGTCGTTGTTGTTGTTGTTTTTTAGTATTTAATTTCATTACCTTCGTGTTCAAATTTTCCCGCTTTTTCGCTGCTGTTTAATTTCCTGTTTCCTGGTTTACCACAATAGAACGGCACCCACTGGAGCACAGTTCACATTTTGGCAGCTACCTTGCCAAGTTAGCCTGTCATGTGCTGGAGTTTACCTCTCTTGTAAGTGGTTACAGCACCCACAGAGTATCTTTCAAGATGGTCACTTGGTTGCTGTCAGAGCTGACGTTGTATATCATTTAGGAATCTGTTCATCTACTTGGATCTCAGATTTGTAGCTGGAAAAAAAATGTTGAACATTGATTCCTTGTGGGATCAGAATATTTACATTGTGAAAGAAGCGATTTTCCAAAGAGAGGCATGTGGTTTAATCATCAGAGCTAGATTGTATGCCAGTGATAGATATATCAGTTTCGTCTCTGTGGTAAGAACAATTAAAATTACTTTGATACCGCCTTACTCATCATCACCATCATCATAACCACTTTTGCCGATAAGCGCCGTGCGGAGGAATAATTTGCGATCCAGTGCACGTTGGCTGCCGCTGGCTATTGTCATGCCGTGAAGGCGTAGAGTGTCTTTAATGTTGTCGATCCATCGAAAACTGCTTTGTTCGTCGTGTGTGTGATGTGAACGCTGTTTGAATTACGATTTTTCTTCAAATTCCTCCACAATTCTTGAGCAATTTCCCGTGAACAAATAAATTCCCTACCGGCTTGATGAGCCTGTCGCACGATCATCCTTATTTGATTACACTGATGTTCAAAAACACACAAAAACACACATTTTCGTCCCACTGAATGTTAACCGACTTCTAATACCCATAAATTGGCCGTGGAAACAGTCAGTTAATTATGTGCATCATTTTGTGTTGAAATACGTAATTATTATTCAGGGTTTTTTTTTTTTTTTTTTTTTTTCAAGGATCTTATTGTCGAGTGGATTAAGCTGTTTGTCTCCTGTTTTAAGGTAGTGAGTACTGTCTTTGACTCCATACCGTTGTTTGCGAGTGCCTGTATTTCAAAGACTCCTTTGGGTCGTAATAGAGCTGATGAGTCTGATCTGCGGCATTGCCAGTGGGCCAACTGTCTCCATGCAGGACAAAGACCGAACCATATGGAATTTTTACCCCCCAAAAAATCCTTTGCAATTAAGTCGATCCTCATTGCTTTCAAACACCCTTAGTTGTTTGAGTAAAGATCGGACATAATGTTTAAATAATTGTCGTTTGTCACTTTTTAATTAAATGCTATTTTAAGAATGTGGAACTCTATCAGTGAAATTATCCTCAGACTCTCATTTATGATCAACAAATTACGTCGTACCGTCTGACATATGGACACAGATCATGGTTGCCTTACAAACCACACTTTGAACAAGCGAACGCTACACCAAACACGTACAGGTAAGCTTTTTCCTCGATTAAGCCTAAGTATTGTGTGCACATCCGTTTTACAGATCTGGCTTATTTTATGCAGACAATAGTTCCTCGCCTGTCAGGCAAATGCTCTCTGACTTCTTTGAAGGAAATATCTCTATTTAGTCGACGTTTACAACATGATTGTCAAATAATGTCCAGCAGTAACTAAATACAAAATAAACTGACTAGAAAGCTCAACAGAGGCCAAGGAAAAAGATGCACACAAATACAACTGAACGTTAAGACCAGAGTCTTTATCAACGGTTTAAGTATCCTTCCATATTTTTTTTATTTTTTTTTGGCACCGGCTGTCTGGAGACTCTGTTAGACCGACACAGAAGCAATAGCTCTTCCTGTCCATATTTTCTCTTATTACATATTATCGATTCCATGTTGACCTTGTCTGTTGTTTAATTAGTCTGCTGTTTTGGCTGCTGATAAAGACTCTTTGTCTAAACGTTCTGTTGTGTATATGGACATTTTATCCTCTGATTTCGTTAAGCTTCTAGTTATAGTTTTTGTTTCCTTTAAGTAGCAACTAACCTGTGTGGTCTCAATGCATGGCGTCCGCCTCGAATGCTGGAGGTCCTGGGATCACACCCCGGTGAAAGCTGTGATTTATTTCAGGTCGACTTCTAATAATTTTTCTTGGTCTCTGGGTAGTAAGATCAGACGCCCGTGTATAATGTTGCCCACGTAAAAAATTCCTTGGCAATTGGAAATCGAAAAGTGTAGCCCGGGCAAAATTTAAAGTTAAAAATCTACCCAAAGTATTTCAGGATCCTCGCTGGTGCTACGGAGTTTGTGCACTGCGCTGAGATTCTTCACTCAGGTTTGAGTAAGAAGTAGAACGGTGCACTTATGAGTTACTACCCTTGCGCCTTGGTGTTGATCTGTTGATTAAACCTAAACTAAACTATCAGCAGACTATCCAGGTAATCCATAAACCTACCTCAACTCCTAACCAGATGGCTTTTAAACCATTTTTTATTGCACTGTCTCTACAATACAGATTGGCTGCGAATGCATCCACAGCTAACTATGGAAATATTATGAAGAAAAGCCTAGATCTCTTCCACGGTGCAACTCTCTTACCAGTTTTTGGCAAGCCACAAGAGCGGTCTTTTTCCAGATCGCTCAACGCAGGCATAGAACCCCAGTACAAGTCGAGAACTGAATTGTGAAACTATTTCACTAACCTCTAAGCCACAGGGCCGTATGAAGTTGGTCTATTTTGGTAGGTAGAATGAATTAGTAAAATAACCAATAGATTATGGGACTGATTTTTTTACGTCTTGAGAACGGACGCAATATTTCATTGTATTTTTATCAGTGGGTTCCTATATCTCACGGTGAAGGACCCTTGCTTGAAAAGCACATTGAAACAGGTGACCAGTTAAGGATTTGCTTAAACTGGATGTGTTGCGCAAATAAAGCAGCCTAACAGTAAACAACACAACCTGTTAACCGCAGAAGAAGCTCTCTTATTTTTCTTCCAACTGTACCTGTCCATCAATCGATCTGTTGGCAACAGTTTATGCCAGTGCTTCTTAAACCTTTCTTGGTCGCGGTGCCTTTTTGCAGTTCAAATTTTTCCACGGTGCCCTAAGTAAAAGTATGACTATTCGTATGTAAGAGATAAAAAAAAAAAAAACTATCGTATCTTCGAATATTCCGCGGCGTTCCTATGAAGAGGTCGCGGCTTCCATGGGGCACCGTGGCGCGCAGTTTGGGAATCACTGGTTTATGCAGTAATGGCAATGATATTCATATTCTTTATTATTTTTATTTCATCAAGGAAACACATAAGTGACCTCTTCGGCAACCTGCCGGGTGTGTCATTGGTCATGGAGCATACATCTGATTCCCGCCACCTTGCCAGTTTGATTCCGGTGACGACAGGATTATCTGAAGACAAGAAATGTCTTACCGGCCTCATTGAGACCGCTTTAACTTTGGGCCTAATGGGATATCCCTTTGTCATGGCCGACGGCATCAAACTTGCAGCTAATGAGGATAAACCTTCAAGGTCAGTGCTATAGGGTTGAATCTTTTTCTGTACGAAACAAATCATTGTACATTTCTTGTCTTCTTCTTCTTCTTCTTCTTCTTCTTCTTCTTCTTCTTCTTCTTCTTCTTCTTCTTCTTCTTCTTCTTCTTCTTCTTCTTCTTCTTCTTCTTCTTCTTCTTCTTCTTCTTCTTCTTCTTCTTCTTCTTCTTCTTCTTCTTCTTCTTCTTCGCGTTCACCAGCTGTGAACTCTGGCGGAACGTCTTGGTTGTTCATCCACTTTCAGGACCTGAGTGTTGCGTGAGCATCCGTTTTACAGAACTGATTTGTATGCAGATTGCTGGTTCCTTGTCTCTTAGGCAGATGCACTACGACTTCGAAGGAAACTCCCACTGCGTCGACTCTTACGACATTATTTTGTGTAGGCTGTGGGTATATTTTTTGTTTTCTCATTAATAGGACCCCTGGAACCAACACGGGAAACATTTCTTGTAATTTCAAAGATAATACGAATGTTACATGTTGAATTAAGAATCGACATCACAGCACTCAGGACACTATCATAAATACACATTCCCCATCTTCAGCAGCAAGCGAAAAGTTCCAGTTCTGATGGAACCAGTAACTGTCTGATTGTATATCTGTCTCGCCTTTCCCTTGAGTGTTGAGCGTCGGCCAGATCCTCTGGTAACTCTCCGCAACGCCATTCTCCTTAGACCGAAATGACGTATCTATGCTTCTGCACTGTTCGCTCGCTATTAAAGGGGCCTCACAACATCCAGCCTGTCATACATACATTTACCACCAGATGGTGCGGAATTATACGATAACAACTATAAGATAACCGAGATTTTGTTATCGTCTGCCATAGACAGTAGTTAAATTAAAACTTTTTTATCTGCCTCATTATTTAACACTAGAGGCTGCGTGGTTTGGAGGCATGGTGTCTGCTTCGAATGCTAGAGGCTCCGATTTGAATCCCCTGTAAAAGCTGGGATTTTTTCAGGTGGACTTGGACTTCTAGTAATTCTCCCTGGTCTCTGTGTAGTAAGATTCGACGCCCGTGTGTATTGTTGCGCCCCTATAAAATCTCTTGGCATTTAGAAATCGAACTGAGTAGCCCGGGCAAAATTTGGAGTTAAAATCTACCAAAAGTATTTCAAGATCCTCGTCAGTGCTACAGAGCCTGTGCACTGTGCTGAGCTTCTTCGGATTCAGATTTGAGTTAGAAGAAGAACGTAGCCCTTATGGGTTACTACCCGTGTGCCATGATGTTGATCTGTTGTTCAAACTTCAAACTTATTTAACAGCTTCTGTCCCACATAGTTTATGTTAAACTTATCCAGACCTAAGAACTTACTTATCTCATCTCATCTCATATTGATCCTCTGGTACCTTGCGGTGTCGAGGTGAAGTATAATTTACTGAAAAGTGCCCATTTGTGTGCTTAGTAAATGCGGGTTACCAGGGGCTCTTTTATTCCCTCTGTCTATCGTTTGTATGGTCGGCACATCATTGCCTGCGTGATATACTGTTTGCTGACATCTGCGTTGTATGGCCAAACCATTCCAACTGTTGTCTTCTAATGAAATCCAGAGCTGCCGCTACCCCCATTTTTTTCCTTCGGATCTCATCATTATTGTTCTTACTTAAGGAGCGGAGCAACTTTGGGATGACCCGTTTGCTATGAAGCTGAAACTAAGATTACCAGATTGATCTTACTTATATATTTACTACAGAGGAAAAAGAAGAACTAAGAACAAAGGTAGGCACAATACTGTTTCACAGAGCATCAAACAATTAAATGATTTCGATCATCTGGTCAAAATGGAACCAAATCAGCAGCATCTAGAGCCTTTCATGAGCAGCAGGCTGCAGGTCAAGAGGTCGACCGAGAAAGTATTGGGGGGGGGGGGGGGGGAGAATAAAAGGCTACAGAAACGCAGTGTGCCATTGAAACAAGTTAGGCACCTAGCAGAAGAAAGACAACTAACTCTAACTGCTTTCTGTGACGCTTCACGGTGCAAGCACTAGGATAACAGAAAAAGAAGGAAGTATTTATTGTGTTAAGCTCAAGTCCTTGGAATTATGAGAGTTAAGACAATAATTGATTTGTTGAAATGGTTAACTCTTCAACCCTAAAATACATTTTTAATAATAATTTCCTAAGTCACGAGCAGACGTTAATTTAATATATTCTGTTGTAAGAAGTAGTTACTTCAACTATTATATTGCGATTAAGACAAGAACAGAACCCACCCATATAGGACAGCAGGTTATTTCGCAGCTGAAGGCTACCCAGATATAGATGTTTTATGCCCAGCTCTCTAGCGTAGTTGGCTAAACCGAACTGCGCGGTGACCGGGTGACGAACTCCTTGTGGTCCGGGTTCACTCCCGGGGGTAGGCAGAAAAGCCACATTTCTCCCAGATTTACGGTATTTATCATGGAATCAAGGCAGAATGGTTGCGATATTCAAAATACCGAGCCTAAGGGTTAACAACTCATGGCTTCTGGATACTATTTTGTTTTAAATAGATATTTTATGTGGTTGAATTTAGTCTACTGGATTTGCTTCTTTAGGGTTTGCATCGAAATAATGACTGTGCCATTGCTGCTAGTCTGCTGTACTTCTGTCCATGGTATCCTATGTCAGTTTGTTTTTTTTTTTTCATTTTATGTTCTATTGTTTCTTCTCCAGGTTCCTATGGTCACCGATGTCTCCTTTTCCTTCCATCTCCATACGAGACCTGACCTTGCCAAAGTCTCCTTTTGCAAACGTGCACAAGGCATCTTTATCTTTTTTCCTTTGATAACATTTGCCAATGATAAACATTTTGAGATACATATTAGATATATCTATTTTGAAATATCCTGTTCCTGTTATATTTCTCATTACTATATTACACAGGGAACTGTACATCAGATGGCTTCAGCTTGTCTCCCTATTTCCCGCCTACCAGTACTCTGTTGCACCATGGGAATACGATCAGGGGATTATCTCTATGGCAGTAAATTTAAGCCTCCAGCGCAACAGTGGAGTGCTAAAGGAGATGAAGAGGCCGGAGTTGCAGGCAGAAGTAAAAAATGGCTACCCCATTTTAAGACCAGTCTGGTGGTTAAATGGGTCAAACCATTCTGTGCATGATTTGGGAGTAAGTTTGTTTGTCTTAAAGTGAATATCCATCATCATCAACCAGGTGTTCCTTTACAGAACGTCACTCTCTTCACGGCACTCCTGAAAGTCTGTCTTGCTCTAGCCAATTCTCCAGCCTTATGTGCTTTCATAGCCAATGCTTCTTCAGTGTCTTGCGTACAGAAATTGCACAGTCTATCACTGTTCTCTCCAGGCCATCACGACGTTTAACATGGCAAAATACCTCAGCTTTCGTGGCAGTATGCTGTTTATGAGCAAATTCTCCTTGACTTTCAGATCATGTAGGAAGGCAGTGTTTTTCTACTTCTTGATTCTTGCTATTTTAAGAACTGTTCTGTAGCATTTTTTTTTAAATTCAAAAGCTCCAATTTCTTTTTCTTTGTTAAAAATTAGGTGTCCATGAGTGAATAGACACCTACATGCTGTTTTATAAATATTATTCATTATACGTTTTTTATATCATTTACATTATTATTGCTTTAGTGCTTTAAAAAGCCCCTCTGACATAAAAGGATGCTTAAAGGTGAAATTAATGGCTTACCCCAACAGATTGTATTTTATAAGCTTAGTCTCTTTCTCCGCAATGGCAGGTGGCAAATTGGCAGTGTCGGCACGTAAAACAAGAACTTTGTAATTCCAGAAATGATATTGTATGCCAGATACATCAAGAATCACAAGATCAAATGCTCTGAGCATGATGTTAAAACGCAGTTACACCATTTACTATAGCTACTGCATTATCTGGGAGTCGCCGTGGCCGAGCGGCTAGACGCTCGCCGCGGATCGGAAGATCGTGGGTTCGCTCCCTGGCGAAGCCGGACTTTTTCAAAAATGACCTTGGCTCTCAGGTCGACCCAGCCTTGAGTGGGTACCGGGTGCAGTCTAGGGAAAGTAAAGGCGGCCGGCGTGATGCTGACCACATCACACATCTTGTGCCGATTGGTCTATAAAAATATAGGTCTAGCCCTATGTGCCCTATACGCCTAAAGACGTGAAAAAGGGTCCTTTACTTTTTTATTTTATTTTACTGCATTATCTATGAACGTCTGATTTGAGAGCAAAAGGATACCCAACAAGATGGATCAAATACTTTAAAGACATTGTATATTCTCATGAACTGACAATAGCCAGCACAAAACAATGAGTGTTGGACTAACAATTGTCACTTCCCATGACTCTGCATTTTTACTAACATCTAAGCCACAGAATTAAACAGGAAACAAATAATATGAAAACAAAAATTAAAAATATGCACAGAAATTGACACCAAAATCCCACGAATACTTTGGCCAAACAGGATCATAAGTGAAGAACTGTGGAGAAAATGTTCATCACTGGCAAATGTTAATCAAAGGGAAAAGGCGGAGATTACTTAGGCATATTTGCAGAATGTATTTAGAAAGAGACTTTACTAACATCAAAGTCATATAATTTAAAAAAGGGGGTAAAATAATATCAAAACAAGAAATAAAAATATACACAGAACTGACACCCACATAACATGAAAGATGTGAATTATAGAATTACACCTCAAGGTATCTAACTGGGTCTTTTACTCATGTATAAACATGTGACCATTGACACCAAGATAACTCTGTTTAAAACAGTATGTTTACCAGTATCATGCTACCAGTGCCAAATATGGACATTAATAACAAAAGGAAAAAGAAGAATCAAAACAACATAAATTAAATATCTACGGGAAACGACAACATTAGGAAACAAGCTGGGGTGGAACAATTGCTAAACTATATCAAGAGAAAAAACAAGTCAAATGGTTTGGAAATCGGTCAAGACTACCACAAGATAGTGCACTAAAGAGAGAGAGTGTGTGTGAGAGAGAGCTTATTCACTTAGATACAACGGAAGCAGGGTTAGAAATAGCCTACAAAAGTTCTGGATAGATGAAGTATCTAAAGCCATGAATAATGGCATCCATGCAGGACACACTAAAGCTTGCACCTGATGTCTTTTCAAAATTTGACACTGAAGGCAGCATAGGAATTAGAGAAAAAAAAGCCTTATATACTTATAGTGATACTTGTTTGCAACCAGCACTTCGTGTTCAATTCTCTATTTTGCTTTGTAATTTGACAACAATCACAGTATTCGGTTTCTGGTGATAGCGTGAAATGTAGTTTAAAGTCCATTCAAAGTTATCAGCATGGTCCATGATGGGGACAATACATGGTTCATGATGTACTCATATTTAGGCTACAAAGGTAATGGTGGTGTGGTGTATCAGTTTATTTTTTATTTATTTTATATAATGATCATGGATATAACAACACATTTTATTTATTTTGCTTTTCAGATAAAAGATGAATTTCTCATAGGAAACTACCTGCTGGTTGCTCCAATACTTTGTGAAGGCACAACAGAGCGAGATGTCTATGTTCCACCTGGTGTGTGGGAAAATCTGGATACAACAGCCATTGTTCTAGGTCCCACGACTATCAAAATACATAATGTAACACTGGAGAGTCCTGTAATGTTCCAGAGGAGATCCGTTGCTGGGGAGATGTGATCTAAACTTGTCGTTTCATCAATACAGTGGATAATTTTGTTCTATCTTGGCAGAATTGGATCTAAACTTGACTTCTGATTAGAACGTGATAGTTTTGATCAGTCACTCAGGAAATGTGATCTAAACTTGACTTTTGATCAGTGCAGTGGGTGATTTTGTTCAGCTGTTGAGCGAATTAGATCTAATCTTGACTTTTGATCAGAAGAGTGGATTATTTTTATCAGTCGCTATTGAGAGTGAGATCTAAACTTGCCTTTTCATCACAAAAGTCGGATAATGACATATTTATGTTGCAAAAGAATCAAAACATTTGTAAAGTGCTTTTTTATTACTAACTTAACTGTTTCAGTTCCTGACAGCTATTAATTTAATTTGTTCTGCCTTCACTGCATATAAGGACAAGTCAACACAGACTTACAAAACAGGCACTGAAACAGGAAACAAATGGACTTCTGACAGACACGTTAAGACAAACATTGTTGAGAGAGGCCATGGCTGCAGGAATACATACCATCCATGAAATCAGATGGACAGTACAGGATTGGATGAAATTGAGAAGTTTATGCAAACGCAGTGTGATGTATAACCACACAAGAGAATGACGATAAGGATGATGCTAACCAGGAACAAGAGTTTCCTATCTTGAACATGAAAGAAAGATATTACAAAAAGGGAGTGACTGCTACCAGTCTGACACGAACAGTGACAAGATACAAACATTTCAACAAAGAAGATAACAACAATAGATTGCGCAATATATTGCCTGGCATATTTCGCTGTATTTTGTCCGGCACATCCTACAATTACAATTTAATTAAATGAAGCACATAAGTGAATCCTTCAGAACCCAAGTACACATTCACAATTCTGAAATATATAAATAACTAAGGCACAAAATTAAGAACTCTGTGTGTGTGTGTGTGTGTATGTGTGTGTGTGTGCGTGCGCGTGTGCGTGTGTGTGTGTGTGTGTGCGTGCGTGTGTGTTTAGATTCATGTACATCATTTCCTAATTGTCATAATCATCTTGTAGTGCCATTTATATCTTACATAGGACTTGCAGTCTATTTTTCTCCTCCAGTCTACACTGTGTAAGCATTTGATTTGTGAATAAGACAAACGTAGACCTATAGCAGTTGGTGTTGCTGTTGTCTGAAGTGTTAGGCCTTTATATATTCTAGACCATGGCCTTCATAGTGGGGTGATCAGTTGCCTTCTTCACTACCTTACCTTCCCAGAGAGTTTAAAGAAATTCTTATAATTTTATGGTACCCAATTTTACGAGGCGTGTCTACACCCCGATCCAGACTTTTAGAGTAAAAAAAAAAAAACACAGTTCTGTTTCTGATGGGGACTGAACTCAGACCACTACCACTACCCTGACATGCAATTGCACAAACCACTATGCTGCTGTAGCTCCAGTTTGTGAATGTTAAGTCTTGAGTGTTGAGCTAAGAATTTACATCACAACATTCGGGACATTTAAATATGTGTCGGTCCTCATCTTCAGCAACCAGCGAAGAGTTCCCATTCCAGTTGTGCCCATAGCAATTTGATTATATGACCATCTTGCGTTTTCTCTGAGTGGGGAGTGTTGACCAGATTCCCCTGCTCACTCCTAGCTGTACCATCCTCTCCAGACCATAATAACCTATTCATGCCTCTGTATTGTTGACTTGCTCCCAAAGAATTTTGACTACAACAATCTTGTCAATGCATAAATCCACTACCCGTTGATGCAGAACCACCCAGTGGACCGCCTGTTCATTTCCCAACCCTCCTGCTTGTTCCAGAGAAGTTACCCAAAGAACGCTAACTACCCAGGACTTCTGAAAGGATTCTTGCCCTTCTGCCTGTCTCTGCCAATTCTTAACCTGCTTTTTGAGTCAGTTAAAGTCATGATATGTTGTGTGCAACTTGTTCTCAGTCCAACAGAAAGCTGCCGTATTTAGTACAAGAAGCCTGTTGAACGCCAATGAAATGACAATGAATGCATGAAGCCCAGCTGCAACCAGTAATTATAATAATCCCTTCATAATTGTTTGACAGTGTCAGTGTTCACTTGTGTTTGTGTAAGAAAATGTTCTATCAGATATAAAGATTTGAAACTCGGTTACTGAAGCTTCAACTAAGCGAGCTGTATATAAACAGGAGATATCATGATTGTTTTTTTATTCAAAATGAAGAATCAAAACCTAAACATTGAAAAATGAGAGAGAGAAAAAAAAAAACACTGACACTGAAAATGTGTGAAAAAAAATAATGACATTAAAGTAATGAGGAAAACAAGTCTGGCGGTGAAAAATTAAAAAGAAACACACTGACATAGAAAAAAATTATAGAAGAAAATCCAACTTCTTTATGAATTCTTTATATTTATTTTGTCAAAGATACTAAAATTTTACAAGAATATTTTAAGCATGCAATTATATATTAACAATGGATGTGGATTGCACGATAGCTTTCATAAAGGCTACCGGCCTCCTGATATAAGTTTTCTGACAGAAGGATCGAAGAAGAAGAAGAAGAAATATACATTTGTAACTAAAAAGGAAGCATTTTTTTTTTTTTCAATACCAGACGATTTTGTTATAGATAGGTGCCTATGGCATTCATACCCACAATGCATGGGTCTGTAACTTTTAAAGAGGCAGCATTTACAGTGTGACCTGTTACAAAATCTGGCCAGGTTTCTGTAGTATTCTCAGTGAAATCTTAAACCATACAGGAGCACGCTGTGCATCTGTAGAAACATTAGGATAATAGCTGGACACACACAGTGCATTGCTTGGGAGAGAAAGAGTGTAAGAGGGATAAGAATGGCTAAATATACATTTTGCATAGAATTAGGTAATGAAACAATTGTCTGCTTTGGAAGATTGTCAGAAAATTATCGACCTTAAAATGAACCAGTAAGCATAAGAAAAGTTTTATGGTGCAGACAAAATGTGAAAACTCCATGGTGACGAGCAAGACTTTTTTTTTTCCTGGCAGTACACACCAGTTTGTTTATTCAGGCATCACTACTAAACACTGTGGTGAGTACCGGCACCTTTTTTAAACAGAGCATCTGGGACAGTCCTGTTGGACTGGTTTCCAAGATGTATCTGTCTGCGTGTTTGCAGCGGCGTCAAATCTTCAGGTTGCTGCCTAGAGGGAAAAACTATCAGTAAGTCAGTCTGTTATGTTTTCTACTTCCGTTGTGGGGAAGAACAGTTTGCGATTCATTGCTTGATGAACAGCATTGGCTATTATTGTCATTCCATGTTAATGTAGAAGTTCTTTAATGTCATCAATCCATCTTCTCCTAGGCCAGCCTCTTGATTTCACTTCAGAACTTTTCATTTGTATCGCCTGCGTTGGTAGTTGTTCTGGTTGCATTCTTACTAAATGACCAAACAATTTGATCTTCTGTTTTTCATTGAATTTTCTGCATGGTGTTGTCCCTACAGTCTGTCTGATAATATCATTTCTAACTTTGACTCGGATGGTTAAGTTGGCAGCTTTTCTCAGGCATCTCATTTCACAAATGTTAAATGTACGTAGGTTTACTTTTTAACAGTAGGTATGTCGGAGATGTTGAATGTGGAATTTGGGATGACTAATAATAAACTGTTCATAGTTATCATATTTATAATTCGTTCATTATAATTAATTCTTTCAAGTCCATATGTTTTGCACACAAACCTTCATTTTTATTTTCTTCAAATAGTCACATGGAATCAAACTATTGTGCTGCTATATATGTAGGAAATGTAAACCAAATGGCATTAGTCACGTTGGTAGCCAGATTAATTAGTAATATTTTGACCAACGCTGTCAATTAAGGGGATGCGTGATGCGATGTTTAGGACACACAGAGAATAACCAGTGAAACATCATGCATTGTTTGGAGACTGAAGGAGTGATCATAATTTATCATTAAGCTAAATCATCATGGCCGTTGATTACCTCTCACAAAACTGAAGCAGTTTCTATCTGATGATTTCATTAATATAACATTTCGTGTTTAGTAATTTAATTAATGTGTCACTTTTGCTTTGCTTATGAAATTAATTTAAAACTTCTTCGTTGATTTAATTCGAGTCGAGTCGAGAGGATAGACTTCATTGCACCTGGTTTTATCCCATATGGCGAAAGCCCCACGCAGAGCACGAACTCCGTAAGCTCCGGTAAGGATCCCCAGGGATCTCTGTAAAAATTGCACTCTAAAGGGAATTGTGAACTAAAGGGCGCAGCCGTGAAACGAACCCACCATCTTCAGATGGCTTGACCATTTTACCACGGAGACCTCTGACTGTTTTACAGTTTTTAAAATTAATTCAGCATTTCTCATTTTGTGTTTGCGTCTGTCACTTAAGTGTTGCGAACACGCTTCGTAATGCCGGGGTAACGGGTTAAATCTCATCTGTGGGCGATATGGTAGCAGACGCCTTGCGTGGGTTTTGAAAGTTTTATTGACAGTCGAGAGTCCAGAAACCAGGGGCAAACTACTGATCGTAAATTTGCCTAGAAAAAGCACAACAGCTCCCCAAAAATGGCAATGTTCTGCAATGTCTTGTGCAGGACCCCTAACTAAAATGTTACATGTTTGATGATTTAATAATATAGTACTTTCCCTTGGCAGCGTCCATGGCTAAGACGTTGCGAGTCCGACTCGTAATCCAACGTACCGCGATCGAAACCTGCGTGAGCTGCGTGTATTTTTATCGTGGTATGGGACGTCGCAGGTCGACCCAGCCTCAAATGGGTACCAGGGGAAAAGTAAAGTCCTGGGAAAGTAAAGACGCCCGGCGTAATGCTGACCACATTACCCACCGAGTGCCGATTGGTCTGTAAAAATATGGGTGCTCTTCCCGTATGCCCGATGCGCCTAAAGGCGTGTAAAGGGATCTTTACTTTTTTTTTTTTTTTTTTATTTCCTTTCCCTTGGCACAAAATGCACACATAAAATGCAGTAACTTGCTGCAGGACCTATCACATCTTACAGATGCAGAAACT